GAATGATATTTATAATAAAAGTTAAATAAATTTATTCCAAAAATATAATCATTTATTTTTAAAATATCGAGCTATTTTATTTTTTAAATATATAGAAATAAGCTCATAAAATTATTGGACTTAACTCTATTAATTAGTATCCAGCTACCTTTTATTTATTATTATTATTATTATTTTTACAACAAATCAAATTTATTGAAATTATGTCATAGTTTCACGGTTGACAGATAAAAGATAATTATTTTATTTTTATTTTTTAAAAATGATGTTATTCAAATGGGCTCCTAAAATAATTGCGATAAGTTTAATATAAAAATATATTTTACACTTTATCTCTCCTTTAAGTAGTATTTATTTATTTATGCTTTTGTTTCATGGATGGAAAAGAGATTCTTCCTTTTTTTTTTTCTTTTATAAAACTAAATATTCTTGAAGTTAGTACAGTTGGTTACTCGAACATGAAATTTGGCACGGACTGTTCATCTTCACCACCAAATGCATCCATTTTCTTCAGTGCCAATGCTACAGATTCATGATGCACTGAAATTGCTTATAAGTGCCTAGAGATTCCGTATGTTTCATTCCAATTGTGTAATCATAAGCATATCCCGCAATTACCGATTACAGTGATTGATTTGTTTATTCTTTTTTAACTTTTCGCTCTGTTTAATACGAATCGTTCTTTTCGCCGATTTTGATGGTGTTTTGTTCGATTTTGTTGTGCAATAAGAGCTATCTGTTTACTTGTCGTCAAATCTATCGGTGACCATGGAAAATCGGACCGTAAACGATCCGAGTCCGATATTCTCAGCTCTCAATTGTATCGACCTTTCGAGTTCAGATATTCATCTTTCGGTTTCGTTACTTAAACAGGTTGCCTACAATTTGATGATAATATTAGTTGATTTTCGATTTTCGTTTTGTGTTTGTGTTTTCGATTTTCGTTTTGTGTTTGTGTATAGAAATCGAATTGGAACTCTGGTTGGTGATTGAAGAAATTTTTGATTCATGTAGGCCTGTTTGGATACCGGATTCTTTTACGCTGTGAATCATGGAATACCGGAGGAATTCATGGACGAGGTTTTTGCTCAGAGCAAAAGGCTTTTTAGTCTGCCACTGAGTGATAAAATGAAGCTTCTGAGAAACGAGAAGCATAGAGGATACACACCTATTCTCGACGAACTGCTTGATCCTGATAATCAAATACGAGGTATACTTCGTGCAATTCCATGTATCTTCTTTGAATGACGGGAGTTCAATATTCTCCATTGTATATTCATACTGCTGTCGATTTAGTAGGAGATTACAAAGAGGGGTATTACATAGGAATTGAGGAAAAAATTCCTGGAGATGATTCAGGTGGAGAAATGCCATTTTATGGTCCAAATATTTGGCCTGCAGAAGGTAAATCATTAAATTACTTATTGTTGCATTGGCAACCTAGCATGACATTTTGCGCAACATCTTTTAGATTTGTTACCTGGCTGGAGGAAGATCATGGAGAAGTTTCATAGAGAAGCACTGTATGTTCTGGTTCCAGTGATTCTACAAATTTGTTTTGATAGATCTTCATCGTACAAATCATCATTTAGTTTTTATGCCGGCCATACAAAGTTTGTTTGCTTGTTTGGGTGAACGATGATAGAATTGTTTTTTCCACGAGTCTGCAAATTGTCTCGTCACTGGTGAAAAGAGTTCTGTCAATCCTTCTCCTATTGTTATATTCTAGTTCCATATCCTGTTTATCTAATTGGCTTCTTGTTATCAATTATTACGTAACTTGCATTTTAACAATCCAGTTCTTAGTTTGTTAATATTTGCCTTTATGTGTATATATGTTTTTTAAAATGTGAAATCAGAGAGGTTGCAAGAGCAATTGCAAGACTCATTGCTCTTGCACTTGGTCTTGAGAATGACTTTTTTGACAAGTCAGAAATGCTCGGCGAGCCTATTGCAGTGTTGCGTCTATTACACTATGAAGGTGGGATATAAACGCTTTTTGTTTCTTCATTTTGGCCCCGTGGTGTCCGTTGGCTATAGAAATAATAGAACAGTCCTCTTTGTGCATCAGGCCAAATTTCTGAACCTGCGAAAGGAATATTTGGGGCTGGAGCTCATACAGACTATGGTTTAATCACACTCTTGGCGACAGACGAGAACTTTGGTCTCCAAGTAAGAATTCAGTTGTGCACACGATGCTTTTTTTAAAGTGTTCGGAATAAGGCACATGATGCTTTTTAACCATTATCAGCATATCATATTATTTGATTACTATTTTCAGTGTTCGGAATAAGGCACGCGATGCTTTTTAACCATTATCAGCATATCATATTATTTGATTACTATTTAAAGTGTTCGGAATAAGGTACATGATGCTTTTTAACCATTATCAGCATATCATATTATTTGATTACGATTTAAAGTGTTCAGAACGAGTACAGATTTGCAAGGCACACGATGCTTTTTAACCATTATCAGCATATCATATTATTTGATTACTATTTAAAGTGTTCAGAATGAGTACAGATTTGCAAGGATAAAGAGGCTAAACCTCAAGTATGGGAATACGTAGCACCACTCAAAGGGTGAGTTTTATGGAAGAATTAGGAACCAGTTTGTATGCTTGATATCATTTAATTTTAGTGCTCTTGCATATTAAGTTTGAAAAGACAGATTCCTTCACTCAAGACTTGAATAAATGGTAATAATTGAGAAGGAAGCTATATTGAGAAAGAGTAAACAAAAGATTGTCTTCTGCCATTTTTGTTTTTAACAGAGCTTTTGTGGTGAATCTTGGGGACATGCTGGAGCGCTGGAGCAACTGCGTATTCAGGTGAGATATATTCCTATTGAGATCACTAGACATGCTGAATTGTAACCTTCTCCTCATTTATCTATTTATGCAAAAACCGTCACCGACATTTTTAATGTTAAGGGACGATTCATGTCTAAATATGATATTTCTAGTCTTTTATGAACTTGTATGTCTCAAATTTTCTTCAATTTGCAATAATGAATTGTTTGCCTTCTCATCTGCCTTCAAGAATCTTGAATGACAATATCGTTTGTGGCATTCACATTATAACAGAAATAGTAAACAAGATCAATCAGTTAATTATACGTACTTCACTAGTTCTTTGTTTTATTAATTTATTTTGGTTGTTACATAGTTCTAAGTTCTTAACATTTTTTCTTTTTGTATTTGATCTCAGGTCCACATTACATAGAGTTCTGGGGAATGGTCAAGATAGATATTCTGTAAGCCTCGTAGCTTACTCTATCACTGTGTTATCCACGAACATTATAAACATCGAGTCGCAATATTCTTCATTGATCTCTCTATTTACAAACATACAAAAAAAAAAAAAAAAGTTGCATAGTAAATTTATTATTTTCATGTAAGCAGATTGCATATTTTGTGGAACCTAGACATGATTGTCTTGTCGAGTGTTTACCAACCTGCAAGTCAGACGAAAACCCTCCCAAGTAAGTATATGTTGATTAAACTTTTATGTTGTTTACCAAAATATGTATATGACGCATGAGATTCATTATAGATATACAAACCTTGTTTGCTTTTCCTCTTGTTTTTTTACCTCATTTCCTTTCATTGTCTCTGTTACTTTCATAGTGTTGCTAATGAGTTAATGAGTTTGCTTTACTTTACATTGCCATTTCATGCCTTTCTTTTTTCCTTTCAAGGCTTTGACTTTACCAATTTACACTCATATGCTTCTTTGTCACTTACACTTGGAAGCAAGTAAGACACTTGTTGGATGCACAAAAATAATATTCTATACTAAAGTTTTTCTTTCCTATTATTATTTATTTTTATTGTCAGGTTTCCTCCAATTTTATGCAAGACATATTTGAGCCAGCGTTACAAAGAAACTCACGTTGATCTAGATACTTACAAAAGTAGTAATGATGAGAATTTGGGTACTCAACATGCTCCAATGCTTTGAAAATTGTAATGCTTGCAAGGAAACCCAATAAATAAACCCACTTCCGCCAAAGTCTACAGGGGACAGGCAGACGGTAGATGAGCAAGGACTGGGACACGTACCGAAATCTCAAGACTTTTTATATATAAATAAAAAAGCATGTAATTTTAATGCAATAGAGTTTGTTGATCTCTTTAGCGAGAAGCCAGTCTGTCGCTACTAAATAAGGCTTCTCATAGACTAAGACCATCAAACATAAAAATTGTCTTATTTTCGTTTAGTGTATTATGTTAAGCACTTTAAACATAACTTCTGAGAAGGTACTTGACTGTAACTTGTATATCATTATCCCAAAAAAAAAAAAAAAAAAAAAAAAAAAA